GAAGAATTCTCTCCAAAACTGAACCATTCCTTTAAGGACAAATCATTTTTTTCACACTAGATGGATTTTATCAAGAGGTGTTACAAAGCAATTTACTCCCATTTCTTGTCTTTTTCTTCTAGTTTTATTTTTGCAAAGCCTCCTGGGAGGAAATAGGTTTTATCTTACAAGTTTGAGAAGGAAATGTTTGGTTGTGCTTCACTGGAGATTATTAAACTAGTAAAAAAAATCTGATATTTTTCCATATCATCATAGACTGAAATCTATTTGAGCAAATCTATTTGTCTTCTATCCCATTTTGGATTGATTTCTTTCAGACATGTCTATTTACACAAATATATTGCATGAAACTGCTCATTATTTCAATCCTATGACATTATGACACATTGTTCATCGTTTAATATGTCCATTCATGGTTAGCATATTCCGATATAAGTAGTGGTGGGATTCAGCCAGTTCGCACCACTTCGGGAGAACCGGTTGTTAACTTTCTGAGCAGTTTGGCAAACTGGTTGTTGGAAGAAATCGTTAGGGCAGAGAACTGGTTGTTAAATTACTTGAATCCCACCACTGGATATAAGGATAATAAAATAAAATAATTCATTTTAAACTAATGGGTTTACTTGGAGATGATAAAGCTATGATGCAACACCAAAGTTATTTGAAAGATTGCCATCTAGAATGAGCTCCCTAAAAAGATTTCCACTTTTCTCTTTTTCTTATTATTTAAAATTAAGATAGTTTAAACAGTTACTTCAATTATATTTGGACTGCTTTAGCACAATTCTTTTTCAGGACTGGGAAGCCTTTTTGAAGGAATGCTGACTGAATAGAAGTTATGTACATATTTAAGTTGAAAGATTTTTCTTTGAAAGTTCCATAAACTAGTTCTATTTAGCCTGGTGAATGAAGATTAGATAAGCACTTAACGTAAAAGGCATTGGATGAGATATTTGAAATCAACTTGTAGTTTTTTCATTTAAACTAAAAAAAATCAGCAAATTTTGAATCTTATATCTGGAAGGGGTAGATAATGACCTAGTCATTAAATCCAAATCTTTGCATAGCGTAAGAAACCAAACTGAACCATCTTTTTCCATCCTCTACTACTTGAACATGTCTAGTAAATAGAAGCACACTACCCTGTGAATAATCAATCACGACTGTGCAGACCTTCAAATGAGGAGTACCATTTTTGAAAGTTTGAGTGAAGCACTCTCTCAAATCTGCTTCATGAAGCAATCTGATTGCCTTAATTCTAAGAGCAAAGCAATCAAGTTGCTTCAACTTGCTCTGCTTCACAGCTTCTCTGGCACCAAAGGTTTAGCGAGTACTGTCAGAAGAATCAATATTCAGTCTCCTGCAAAAGTTTAGGTGGTCAATGAAGACAACATTGCTTGTCAAAGCTTTTGATAAGTGTAGCAGACGAAATAAGCAGTGAGCTACTAGCGTTGAGCGGAAGAGAGGAACACTTCTGCACTCTCTAAAGATTTTCTGTTTTCTGAAAAATCTCACTTTAATAAAGTTATGATGAGTACAGGACACATGTCGATTTTCTCATATCCCATTCAATGCTACAATTTTATGAAGAACCATTAATGAGCACCATTTTAGTACAGATTTTAAGTTAACTATTTACCAATTTAATTGTCAGGGCATTCAGCACACACTTCAGTAGGCTACTAAGGAAAATGCCATTGGGTATTTTCTCAAATAGAATATGAAATAATAGGGTTAGAAGGGACCTTGGAGGTCTTCTAGTTAAACCTGCTGCTCAAGCAGGAGACCCTATACAATTGCAGACAAATTGTTGTCCAACCTCTTCTTGAAAAATCCAGTGAAGGATCACTCACAAGTTCTGGAGGCAAGCTGTTCCACTGATAAATTGTTCTCACTGTCAAGAAATTTCTCCTTAATTCTAGATTGGATATCTCTTTAAAAAAATAAATGTTTTTTAAAATCAAAGTTAAGATGTAATATGTCATGTAATATGTTAAAACTCTAGAAAGAGTGCAGAGAAGAGCAATAAAGATGATTAGGGGACTGGAGGCTAAAAACATACGAAGAACGGTTGCAGGAACTGGGTATGTCTAGTTTAATGAAAAGAAGGACTAGGGGAGACATGATAGCAGTGTTCCAATATCTCAGGGGCTGCCACAGAGAAGAGGGAGTCAAGCTATTCTTCAAAGCACCTGAGGGTAGGACAAGAAACAATGGGTGGAAACTAATCAAGGAGAGAAGCAACTTAGAACTAAGGAGAAATTTCCTGACAGTTAGAACAATTAATCATTGGAACAACTTGCCTGCAGAAGTTGTGAATGCTCCAACACTGGAGATTTTTAAGAAGATGTTGGATAACCATTTGTCTGAAGTGGTGTAGGGCAGTGGTGGGTTGTCCCGGTTCGCACCGGTTCTATAGAACTGGTAGTAAAACCGGCGGGAGGCCCCACCCACTGACCCTGACGCAGGGGTGGGTTCTAATTTTTTTTACTACCGGTTCTGTGGGTGTGGCTTATTTTGTGGGTGTGGCTTAGAGGTCATGTGACTAGGTGGGCATGGCTAACTGGTCAGAGTCATTTCTGGAAGGTCCTCGCACTTACGACCAAGTCCTCGACTTACGACCCAACTCATTTGTTTGCTTTTAACACTGATCATCTGTAGGATGGCCCTTTGAAGCCCCTCGGCAAGAGTTTAAACAGTTTTTTTCCTTCTAGTCATCATCTGGGACTCAGGAGGCAGCAATAGATTGGGGGTGGGACCAAATAAAAGGTAAGAATAACATGGGTGGTGGGAGGGCGGGGAGAACCGGTTCGGTGATGTCATATTGTCACCGCTATTGGCTCGGCCGAACCAGACAGAACCGGGAGGAACCCACCACTGCCCTGACGTCATGAAAATGCTTCTGCGCATGCTCAGAAGAGCACATGTGCGTGCTCACTTCGCTTGCTCATGTGCGTTTGCGCAGCCCTGTTGCAAACTGGTAGTAAAGGTAAGTAGAAGCCACCCCTGGTGTAGGGTTTCCTGCCTGGGCAGGGGATTGGACTAGAAGACCTCCAAGGTCCCTTCCAACTCTGTTTTTCTATTTCTATTTCAATATACATAGAAAGTCACCCAAACAAAAAATGAGGAATGTTTTGTCTGGAAAGACTTCTTAACAAATCCATACCACCCTGTGGCAATTACATCTTAGATGTATTCTCAAATAGGATCATCCTAGGAACTGGTATCAGAATGACTGGTCTATAAATCCTTGGATTCTCTCCACTTTACCACCACTTTTTTGAAGATAAGGATAATATTTGTGTTTCTTCTATCATCTGGTACTTTACCTGGTCTCCAGGATTTCTCAGAGATAATGTGTATTGATTTGTCCAGGTTCCTTTAGTATCCTAGGAAGTAATTCATCTAATTCCTTAATTGTATTTCTGTTACTGGCTTCAATCCTATCATGTTATCTGTTTCCCCCCAAGTGCCTAATAGAACACATAACTGCTCTTCCAAGAGAATGAATCAAGATAAGAATTGCATGTAATTATTTTTCTGTTAATTTTGCTACCTATTAGCATTCTGCTATCTGTGCTTTGCAGCCAGTTGTCTGGTGGCTGATAAATACGTACCCCAGCACTGCTTTCATTTCTCCCATTATTTTTATGTATATGTTCTTTTCAAGATTGCTAAATTTATTTGTGGGTTCTTAATAAAATTCAGAGTAACTTCACTTTAAACATACAAATTTTACTGAGTGAAAACGATCTTGTCTTCATAACTCATGATGTCACTATAATGCCATCACATCGGTGTGGAATGAGTCTTAAGTACAAAGTGACAAGTACTTACTGTTACCAGACTTGTTTCTAGATTTGTAGCAACACACTGTCTTTCTGGAATGCCTAATGTTTCATTTCCTATTATATTACCCTATGTTCAATTAAAAGGGCTGTAAGATTAAATTGCTTTCTATTGATTATTTTGATAATTCACTTCTGCTTAACCCATTGATCACAATTTGTATCATGACAATTTTCAGAAGAATGTTTGCAATTCTGTTAGTGGTTTAATTTTATTTCTTGAGAAGATGTGTTCTTCTCAGACAATGTATTGAACCAGGATCTATTGAAGGGACTTAACTGCCTATGGGATAAAATAAATATGATAGATCTTTCGGAAAAATAAAAATGGTTAACAAGCAGTCATTCCTGGCAGTAAAATGAAAGTAATGATGAGGACAACAAATTATAGTGGTAAACATTTTGGTCTTTTTTCACTTAAAAATAAAAACAGATTCATTCTTTCAAATGATAAGGAGAATCTGAGATGCAATCTCCTATTTTATGTCATTTGTTGCTTTATCACAAATAACTTTATTTTGGTCTTGATGACTTCTACTATTTGGGCAACCTGAGACAAAAGCACAATAAAGAGGCAGAGAATAAAAGGGTCATTTCGCATTATATTATGCCGTGATGGAATTAAATATGCATCTTTTGAACTAATTCCTTTTGACTCACCCCCCCACCCCCACCCCATGTAGATTCTTAAGGTTTATTGAAAGTAGTAATTTAAAATCCATCTCTATGCCTTGGGCCAGATGTCCACATTTGCCTTAAATCTAAATGATTTTCATTTACAGCCCAACTGCACTGGAATGGTATATAAATTTTATATACCATATTTTATATTTACAAATATATAAAAAAGGGACCAATCAATTTTTAAAAAGATATTACTGAAAGATTTCTTTCTGCCCAGTGTTGTTATAGCTCAGATTGTTTCCACTTGTGGTTCATCTGTATGAGAACAGAAATTAAATAATATGAAAGCTCATGTCAGTTAATAAAGTGATCAATTTTTCAGGAACCATTGCACCTCCTAAATCTTCCACGTTCCCTTGTGTGCCCCTAGCCCAAGAGATGGCTAACAGGTTCAAAAAGGTCTGGAAAGGATCTGGAAATGTGCCCAACTGACAGGAAAAAAAAATAGCAACACAAGACAAAGTACAATTATCCATAACCCAACAATTTACTTAAATTTATTACATCACAAGAAGACAATCCAGTAAAATACACAAAATTCATACTAATCCACGTTGCCAATGTACACTTTTTATAGGGTTCTTTCTTTATATTACTTTTAAAAAGTAGGGTACTGCATTCCCCATACAATAGCTGAGACGTACTACTGTCATTTTGACAGCTTAGAGAGATCTAATTAACACTTTTTAAACTAACTTCATAGATCTTTTGGCACTTAAAAAACACAGACAAAGAAATCAGATTCCATATAATCAATTGAAACACAACACAGCATAAACTATCTAATGGCAGCAAGCAAATAAAGTGTCTATTATTTCTTCTAAATCTTCTAATCCAAATATATATTGAGGGAAGGCAGCCAATATTACTCCACTGTGGTTAATTCTTGTTCAGTTCAGAAATTCTGTATACATTTTTGGAATTATTTCACAAAACGTTGATGGCTTTTTATTGTTATTATTAGTTTTGGTCCTGTCAAATATATTACTTTGCTAACAGAAGACAATGAATTGTACAGATTGTACCTTTTTTTGTTACTATCTTAATATTATGTTTTTCATTTCCTATTTAGGAGTATACATTCTTTAGTAGCCTTTCAACTAAGATCTGTCTATTCTGGATGAATTATGCTCTGCAACAGAGGCAGAGGCTTTTTGGGTAAGAGATGCCATGCATAAGAATAAATCATTAAGGAAAGGATGCCTTGTGCCAAAGTCTTATTCAAAGAATGTTGCTGCATTTCTTTTTGCAAACTTTTGGTCTCCGCAAACTACGGTGCATTTGTGTGTTATAAATTCCAGCTGCTTCCAGATCACATATTGTGCTCAAAATAACAAACCCCAATCTCCATTGCAGCCTTTTACTCCCCTGCCAGCCACTGAACTCTATTATTTCAATCACTTTTTGGCAAAGTAACTAGTGATTGTTTTATTTTACACTGATTGCAGGCTCCATGTATTACCGTTTACTCTGAGAGGTAACCATTGTATCAGTTATTTCCCTCCTGCCTAAAATTATCCTGAGAATCCATTAGGAAATCTTGAACAAACTATTGTGGCTTTCAAAAGACTGCAATAGAATAAGGATTCTTAGATTCTTAAGACTTCTGAAAATGAATGCTTGAAGCATGATAACAAAATAAACATTTGTCCTTAGTAGAAAAGACACCAATATTTTGCTATTTCAAAGGCAAATGTACTAAACCATTGCTCCAGATGAATGTGGCTACAGTCTACATATCTCAAATTTAAGATTTCTGCTGGTTTTTCAAGATCTCATTGGAATGTGAAGAGCTGTCTCTCCTATTCTTCCTTTTTCTGAAAATTATCTCACCCTTCTCCATGGCAAGGTAGGCTCTCCTATTACTACTACAATACCAAGAAAAAGAAGAGAGATCCAGGAAAAGAAGCTAAATGCAGTTGTGCAAAGGGCGAAAGGCATTTATGGTGCTGAAGTACAACTTTCTGAGATGTCTCCTTCTGTTAACATTCTCCTTTCCAAAAGCTCTTTTGGAAAGACTTGATGATAAATGTTGAGAACTAAATGAAACAGCTTTTGTATCATGGTTCTCTTACGTGGTAAGTGTAACACGCACTATATTGGTATCAATAACTCTCCATGTCATAACTAGCAATCCAGCAACAGGTGGAGACAGGGCTGATGGAAAGACTTCTACATGCTGGCAGTCAGAAGTTGTTTTAGGCAATTGCCATATGTGGCTCAGTTTACATCTGGAGGGTATGGGGAAATTCCTTTACAATTTGCAAAATTGCAGACACCTCAATATATGCAGAGTCAGTTGCAAAGAACTGATATTCAGGTAATAATACCTGAATACCACACTCTTGGATTAAGTAAAATATATCTGTGTAAATACTTTTTAAAATGGATTGTCATGATCGGGTAAGGCAGTGTTTCAGTGCATTCTTTGCCGTTCTGCTTTGCAACTAGAAACCAAAAAACCCTAAATCCTCTGAAATGGCAAATGAAAAGCTCATCACCACAGGAAATTACCTTCTCATTCTTTATTTGCTTGAGGATGCATACAATATGCTCTGGGTGTTGAGATATAGAGGGTCTAGTTCAGGGGTGGGTTCTACTTACCTTTACTACCGGTTCGCAATGGGCGCGTGTGCAGAAGCTTCTGCGCATGCGCAGATCGTCAATTATGACTACCGGTTCGCAAGAACCGGTCAGAACCGGAAGCAACCCACCACTGGTCTAGTTCACAGGCTGAAGGACAAGGAAGTATGTGCCAAGGAATTGGATAATTCCCGCTGTTATTCATTATGAGTTTCATAAAATGTCCTTTGAGTTTGTTAGTCTAAATAAATTTATAAAGAATACGTTTCCCAACTTTACCATGTATGAGTGATTGTGCTAGATCCCCAACATAGGATAAATGTAACTGAGTGCCAATCAATCATATACAGAAGACAAAATACATAACTATTACCATTGTATTAATGTGTGCATAAAAACATCTGTGCATAAGGCCCAAGCTACAACAGTGTTATCACAGTGAGTCTCTGTGTGTGTGTGATTGGCAATTGTATCAAGCAAATCACAACAGTGACAAATATAGCTTTCATTGTCATGAGAGAAGGCTATTAACTGAGCAATCCTGGGCACAAATGATCATAGAATGTATCGCTCCTACTATGTATATATATCCAGACCATTTCAACACCTGTTTCATTAATTCTGTGGCAAACAGTTTGAATTCCTTTCACATCTGGCCACTGTGCAAAGCTTATCAACTATACTCTTTTTTTTTTTTATCCCTGTGTTTAGGTTTGGAATATTTTCCCATTTTTTTTACCAACTGTAAAAAAAAATCCATAGTAAAAATAACTCATATATGATACATATACCCAGAATGGTCAGATTTTATATAATAAAAGATGAAAATAGTCACTTTTCATAATAAAAATAACTTTTTTTTGCTTATTTTACAATATACTTAATATTCTCTTCTTCACTTAAAAGTAAATAGGTCCTGTGTTGGAAAGCAGATTTGATACAAAGGGCAAAGAGGCTGATCATAAGCTTATAAACACTTTGCACAGCCACACTCCACATGTCTCTCTAGCTCTTCTGTAAAAGAAGAGCCATCCACACACTGGAAGCCGTATTTCCGCCTTTTGCTGCGGAGAACAACACAACACTGATTGTTCCCACAAGTGCCGTGACATTCCACACGAGGTACCTTCACCATGGAGACACAAGCGATTGAATCTTGTTGCTTCCGAATGAATTCACGAATAATCTCTCCTTGACAAACATTTTCTGTGAAGACAAAAGCATGGCTCAAGTTAATCTTTTGTCATCTTTTAAGATAATTTTATAATTTTATAATTTTTTTGATTAAAAAAAAATCTGAAGATCAAGATCAAGAACATGGCTTCATGCCATATGACTTAAAAATATTTGCAGAAAAAACTGCTATAAATGACCCTTTTCCTGGATATTTTGGTGTTAAATTACTATTAGAGAGTTACAATGTAATATTGATGAGTAATATAGTCTAAGTTTGTAGAATTGCAGCATGACACCTATTTTTTTGAGATGATCAGGAAGCATTCCTCTGTCTGTTGTCTGTCCATGCTCTCTCTCTGTCTCTCTGCATCCATCCATCCATCCACCCACCCACCCACATCTATCTATCTATCTATCTATCTATCTATCTATCTATCTATCTATCTATCATCTATCTATCTTCCATGTATTAATGTCTCTCTGCCTGCCTGCCTGCCTGCTTATCGTCCGTCCATCCATCCATCCATCCATCCATCCAGTTTCAAGGTCATCTGACTCCTTAGTGACTCTGGGCGTCTTAGAAATGAAAAAACAAAAGCAGTAGTTATAAAAAGGTCACAGCCAACCAAAAGAATGATAGTCAACTATAAAACTGAACTTGACTAATGAGGACTTCAAAACTACACTGTCACAAGGCTGCCACCACATTTGTAGGGATCTCTGGAGTGTTATTAGAGTAAGAGCTATGAAGCAATAGGGGACAGATGCTGAAAGAGATAAGATGACACTGTAAAGATTTTAATAAAGCTGCGGCAGTAAATCTGGAGACTTAGTGACATATTGGAAGTCAATCCACATACCAATACCAAAGAAAGAAGACTTAATAGACTTGACTTAATAGAGTATGCAAGCTATTGTATAGTATTCTTAATTTCGCACACTAGCAGAATAATCAAACACAGACTAGAGCTCTACACGGAATGCCGTTGTCTGAAATGGTATAGGGTTTCCTGCCTGAGCAGGGGGTTAGACTAGAAGACTTCCAAGCTCTCTTCCAACTCTGTTATTCTGGAAACAGAAATACCAGATGTTCAAACTGAATTTGGGCGGAGGAACACAAAGCATTATTAACAATACATATGGGATAATCAAACAACAGCAGAAAGAGATGTGCTTCATTGATTACAGAAATGTCTTTGATGGTGTTGATCATGTTAAGGTCTGCAGTGTATTTAAAAAAATGGGAATCTCAGAACATTTTATCCTCCTCACGAAAAACCTATCTGTAGATCAGGAAACCATAGTACAAATGGAACATGGAGAAACAGATTGGTCTTAGGTTAGCAAAATAATATGTAATGATATGTGGAAATGAGCTTGAAAGACAGGTGGAAGAGCTGCAGGAGACAAGGACCAGACAAGTGGGAACTGAACTCTTAGAGGAATGTGGGCGTGGTAAACATCTCAGAACAGGCACTCCCTAATTTCTTGAACTGTAAAGATGAGGTGGGGAGAGATGTACTTCAACACCTGCAATATTCTGCAATGTAATCTTACAATAGAGTCAGAACTAATATTTCTGGGTGTGCTTGTTGTCTGAATTATCTCACAAGCTTGACAGTATGAGACAATGCTTTTTGGAATGTGACGTATCTGTCCAGCTTTATTTCTCAGTCAAAGCAATATCCTTTAGTATAATCTGTATCAAGCTATAACACTGAGAAATGTCTGACTTAATTTTGCTAATAAACTGTGAGAAAGTAATTAGCTATAGGTCTATAATCTTGTTAAAAGTACATCCCATTAATATTAACATGCATCTCCTTTATGTTAATAAAAGTTAACCGAAACACTAGTTGAAATATTAACACAATTTAATATAAAAATTATTTTTAAAAGGGCATTGCGTAACATTCTCTTTCAAAAATTCATCCTGGCAGAGATTATAGCTTAATGATATTTCATTAGGATATTTATTTCCTGTACAAAAACATTTTCATTCAGTTTGTAGAATTTGCAAGTAGGACTGGGAAAAGTTGTTTTTAAAGCCCTGAAGAAGTGCTGCTTCTCAGAGAAGACAATACCTAGCTATGTAGTCTAATCGGTATAAGGATGTTTTTGTGTCCCTGTGATTTCTGGATTTTTATCTAAGATTTACTATGCAAACTGCTAACATAATAAGGATTTAAGACAGAACTAGCTGTATGTCTCAACTACTGCAGAACTCAGCTGACAGGAATTAAAAAGAGACAAGTCTTCATGTTGTTGTCATCTAATGTAACTTCTGATATAGGTAATAAATAGCAATAGCACTTGGATTGACATACTACTTTATAGTGCTTTACAGCCCTCTCTAAGTGGTTCACAGAGTCAGCTCATTGTCCCCAACAATTTGGGTCCTCATTTTACCGACCTTGGAAGGATGGAAGGCTGAGTCAACCTTGAGCCTGGTGAGATTAGAACTGCCAAATTGCAGTGAGCTGGCAGTCAGCAGAAGTAGCCTGCAGTATTGCACTCTAACCACTGTGCCACCGCGGCTCAAGATTTATTGTTTAGCCATATTAGCACCCCAATTCTGTCAGGTAAAAGGAAGACAGGTCACATATGTAAGACAATATGTAAATGTACGGTAGACAAATAGAAATTTTCTTTGAAATGGAAAGACATCAGCAGAGCTTCGGCATTGCTTTGTAAATGGGTAAAAGGGACAGAGCAGATCACGTATCACATATTACAAAGACACCAACCTCTATCACAACGCTCTCCACTGTAGCTTGGATCACATTCGCAGTAGGGCTCCCCTTGTGCAGAGATCTTACACTGTCCGTGGTTACATTTTAGAAATCTGCAGGAGTTGGAGGAATCATTTTTTCGATCGCAGTGCATACCTGTGTAACCTACTATACACTTGCATGTATAAGCAGAGTTGGTGGCAATGCACTTTCCATGAAGGCATCTTATAGAAAAAAGGAGAAAAAAATATATGTTGGATTTCACATTGTTTCATCCCACATTTGTCACACATTCCTTTTATCTGTAAGGAATGTTACACTCAGTGGTGGGTTACTCCCAGTTCAGTCTGGTTCTATAGAACTGGTAGTAAAACTGGTGGGAGGCTCCACCCACCTGCTCCGACATCATCATGGGTGATCTGTGCATGTGTAGAAGGGCGTTCACGAAACGAGCACGCATGCATGCCCCCATTGCAAACCGGTAGTAAAGGTAAGTGGAGCCCACCCCTGGTTACACTGAACAAAACTTACTTGTTGCCAAGGCAGGGATCATTAAGTTCTTGATCACACAGTGAACCTGTCCAGCCTGGATGGCACTCACAGACCACACTTGTCTTTTCAAGAGAGCGGCAAATTCCATGCTTACAGATGTTACAGGATTTGCAGCCAGGAAGGACTCCTACTGACTGATGTGGTAGTTCTTTGAAATCCTGCAGCTCATTATTAATTCGAACATCATGAATGCAGCCATGAAAGCCACTTGGTGTCCTCTCTGTCCCCTGCCTCAAGGAAGACAGCCCTGTAGATGTGGGAATTCCTGCAAAGGAAGTTGCAAAATGCTTTGGGCATTATTTGAGTAACTCTGATATTTCACTTGAAAGTAATGACATAGTGGTGCTAGATTAGATAAGCAGATTGCAGCAGTTTATCAATGAACAATATATACCCTGTTTCCCCGAAAATAAGACCCAACTGGAAAATAAGTCCTACCACAATTTTTCAGGATGATTGTAATAAGCCCCAAAATAAGCCCCAGTTAAGATCGTCAGCCAGATGGATGCATTTAGTACCGTATTTCCCCCAAAATAAGACCTAACCAGAAAATAAATCCTAATGCATCTTTTGGAGCATAAATTAATATAAGACCTGGTCTTATTTTCGGAGAAACACACGTGTGTGTGTGTGTGTGTGTGTGTGTGTGTATGCTTCAAAAATGTATGCTAAAAAAATAAATTATTTGCACAGATTTTGAAGTCCATACAAATATATGAATTTAAAATAATAATAATAACATCAACACATTACAGGTAATCCTCGACTTAAGACCAAAATGGAGCCCAACATTTCTGTTATTAAGGGAGACATTTGTTAAATGAGTTTTGCCCAACTTTTCAACCTTTCTTGCCACAATTGTTAAGTGATTGTTAAATTGTGCAGCTGATCAGTTAGTAACCTGGTTGTTAAGTGAATCTAGTTTCCCCATTGACTTTGCTTGTCAGAAGCAGAAGGTCGCAAAAGGTGATACATAACCTTGGGAGACAGCAATAGTCATAAGTATGAACCAGTTGCCAAGCATCTGAAGTTTGATCACATGATCATGGGGATGCTTCAAAGGTTGCAACTGTGAAAAATGAACGTAAGTCACTTTTCAAATGTAAGTTGTTTTTCATTTACGGTAATTAAATAAACTGTTGTAAATCGAGGACGACATGTGTTTTGCTGTGAGATAGCACTGTGTTTCAGGCAAAAAGATTGGAATCTTCTGCAATTATTTCACATGTCAACTAATTGTCTTTTATTATGCACTTGTGGAGGTTTTAAGACTATTATTAAGCCTGCCCCTCAGCTGAAACGCTGCAGAAATCGGAACTCACCTCCAATGTAGAGTGGAGTGTCTTGACCAACCACGGGTTGCTTCTGCAGTTTGCCAAGGGTTTTGGGAGTGCCTTTATCTACTACCAAATTCAAGGTCTGGTTTAACATCACCAGCTCCACACTATGGAACTGTCCATCATTTACTGTCTCCACACTTTCAGGAAAAATAAACAAAAACAAGAGAACAAGAGAAGTTATGATGAACAGCTTTTGCAATTATCTGATCTCCATATAATTGCCATAAGAAAAATAGAAATGTAAGAGAGTTCATAAATGCAGTCAGAATAAAAGAATTAGAAAAAGGTAGCGAATAAGAGTAACTGCAATCATCAAAAATATGAGTCAGTTAGCAAATGCCTGAATTTTTAATCACATGACCATGGGGAAGCTGCAATGGTCGTAAGTGTGAAAAACGGTCATAAGTCACTTTTTTTCAGTGCTATTGTAACTTCGAACAGTCACTAAGCAAACTGTTGCAAGTTGAGTATTTTTAAGATCTTTGAGAAAGTCTAGACCTTTGCTAACATTAAAATGGACGATTATTAGATTTCGTTTTTAGAAAACAATAGTTCCAATAAAACTTACTTTCCTAACCTTTTAGCAATGTAAAATCTCCTTTCCTCCCTTCCTGCTTAACTCAATACTTTTCAGCTTTAATTGGTATGTAAGTTGGAAGACAGAACAAGGCTTCCTCTTCCAAAAAGTTTTGACTATTCAGTTTATTGAGTTTATTAAATTCAGAAGATGAAACTGGTTTGCCTGTCCATCAAAGAACCTTCTGAAAAGGCCCTAGCCCAACTTCCTGCCTCAGGGATAAAGGGAAGATGTCCTTTATTGCACCAAGTGAGGAAAGGTGCTTACTTTAAGGAAAACCCTTTTCAATGCTTTCTGTCCAGAGGGAAACTATCCTGACAGGGGAACTGTTTTGAAGGGCACTTACTTAATAAAGAATCCTAAGAGCATGCTTCAGCTGAGGATCAGTCTCTCAGGAAGTTAAACACTGATTTTTATTTGAATCAGAAAGTTAAACACATGTTTATAGCTCTGTTATTTCAACATATGGAACTGGAACATTGGCTGGCTTGTGCATCAGTGTTTTGTAGGTGTATTGCTTCAAGAGAAGCCTGGAAATTTGCATTTTGTTCAATCAGCAACTGCTGTCTCCTCAAAAAGACAACCCTGGATTCATGGATAAGATTTCTTTTCAAGAAGATAAATGCTCATTCATTTCACCCTAGAAGGTCTGGTTTGATGCTGTTGTGTGTGTGTGGGAAATCTACAACGATCAGAGACAGTCAGAGACAGTGGCTTGGCGAGAGATTAATGGAAGAAAACCACAGACACTGAACAGTGCACCACAGTTGAGCCAGCAACGCACGAAGGCTGTGATTTTGGTAGAGAAAGAGGCTATATCCTACAACGAGGAAACTGTGTTAAAATTGGAGCTGATTCAAGTGTCCTCACACTGATCCTTCAAAAACAATGCTACAGATGAAAACATTCCTCTGTCAAGGCTTAATTACAAAATGTGACAATCAACCAGATAAGCCCATTATTTGAAACACAGGATAATTTCTTAGCATTCCTACCCCAGCGGCAATATCATTATAGATAAAAATTTCAGTAGTAGTTATAGCTTCATATATAAGAGATAAATATACCAGCGTGGGAAGTACAGCTAAAGAAAGGTGCAGTCTGATGCTTCATTTCTAGATGGCAGTACAGCATCACAAAAATACAATTTTTAGACGGGGGGGGGGGGGGGAAGCAAATATGCTTGCATATTACCCAATGTACTATACACTCACTTCAAATCAGAATGTAAACAAATAACAGAGGACTAGAAGTTAGATCAGGATAATCTACCACCCAAATTAAAGCTTTGGAAGAAGAGAGAAAAATGAGGCTGATCCCTACAATTGGCAAAGTAACATTTGAATTAACTGTATATGATCTAGGATTGCAAACATACCTAACACTCTTTCAAAAGTTATTTTGGTAAGATATAGCAATAAGGGGATGTGCGTGTGAGAGAAAAAGAAAAATTAAAATGGGAATTGGATTGGTTCCAATTTTTGTGTTTGGATTCAAAAAGCCAAAGCTTGTCTTAACAACTGTTTGCCAACCAATTAGAAACAGTTCTCTAGTTTTCACTTTGGGCTAAATTCCAATAAACCTATTAAAATGCTGTATACTAAGTAGAATCTGCCTTGTTTAGAATCATTCCTCTGGAATTCACAATATATACTTTTTCAAACTTATTGAAATATAAACACTTTTCAAGATAGCCAGCTGTATTTCATTTGACACTTCCAAGAAAATAAAATAGCCATATTCCATCTACATTCAAAGGGAGGAAAAAATGCTCATAAAAACCAAATGACAATTTATGGAAAATGGCTGTCAGCAACACTTATCAAAGACAGGACGAGAGAATACAATGCAGATCCTACACTAAGCCACTTTGATAACCTTCATTCAGTTCTCAGAAAGAAATCAAATTAAATGGTAAATCATAATTATGATTCATGAAACTAGAATTGAGAGAAAAAACTGACTATTCCGGATGATAACTTATCATCCGGAATAGTATTACTTATCAATGTATTATCATTATGGCTTTATTCACTTATTTTCTTATTAATAATACTTTTGTGGGTTTATTCTCCTAATAACCTCATAATAATATATTCTCATAATAATAACATTATTAAAATGCATTCTAAAAGAGACACTGTAAAAAAGTTAGTACTCTGATCCAAGAGCAAAAAATGGAAATATTTTGTCATATAACCTTTGTTATTCGTATTATTTCCTTTCAACAACAACAAACCTTTGTTATGACCTTTAGGTCTGAAAACACTACAGAGAAATACATAGAACTAAAATTATTACTAGGATTAAAAAATGGGTATAAAAATGCAATAAAATTACAAAACAATAAAAATCAACATAAGAGAAATAATACTGACGCAAATAATACAAGTGACAATCACTAAGATTTGTGCTAATCGTCAGTCATTGTTGGGGAACGAATAGAATAAATAAGCGTGAAAAATTGGGTAACATGAAAAGATACATCAGAATCCTGTTTGGTTAGAAGCATTGTGCTCTGTACCAGGTATTATTTAAAATGGGATAAACAATTAAGATAGACATAGACATTATCTTGTTGTGTCCACCTAGGGCTTAATGTGATAACATTAAGCCCTAGGTGGACACAGACAAGATAATGAATAATATATAACAAAGTCATGAATAATGAATAGTAAAGGAGTCACAACCAATGGATCTAATCCAACAAGTGATAACAGAGGTGATGTACAACTAAATATTCCAAAAAGAGCCAAAGTGTGTTCTGTTTCTGATTTCAGAAGCTCAAGAATCCCTGGAGAGTTTGGAATTTAGAAGACAGCTTACACTGATGTTCCATTGCATCCAGTCTTAAAAAAATAAGCATCACTAGAATAATGTTACTTATGTGCTACCTCATAAAACAGTGATTCAAGCTTGTTTTGTGCTTCATGGAATGGTTTTGTTTTGTCTACTAAAACTGGTTTTGTTTCATTTTATTTAAAGCTGTGCTTTTCTGTAACCCTTAATAAAAGCAAGAGGCCCGCAGAGAGGTGATTTCAAAAACAGAACCTAAGGGAGGCAGTTTGGACGGCTGTCCTGAACAAACAAAATCAAGTTTATCTTTCTCCCAATATCTCTCTTACATTAACTTTCGACTATGATTTAGACTGCAGGTTCACTCAGCTGCTTTCCATTAAATGCCACAAAACTAAAAGGAAAAAAAAAGAAAGGAAGGAAGGAAGGACCAAGGTTGTTATGTTTATAAACAACCTAATATAAAATATCTAAGATTTTTCTGTATTTTATATTCAGGATAGAAACAAAGTACGAGCAACAAAATCAGGTCCCGTGTTTATGTTGTACTGATTAAAAATAATAGTTGGAAAACACATATTTAAAAGTCCATGCTTAATTCAGTACCACCTTTATCACCCTTATTCTTCTAAAAAGATTTGCAATGGTTTCAGTTTGCGTGCAGTTGCTCTATTGACAGTGCCTAGAACGGAAGGTAATTAAAAATGTTCCAGGCTTGTGTAAAAGACAGAAAACAAAGCTGTTTAGCTGAAACAGAAAGCTGAACACTCTGAAAAAAATGTCTCTTTAGAAACCAGATAGCTAGCCAGGAAATTAAATTGCTTCCACTTTATTAGATGGGTTACATCATGTACTCATAAATTTAAAATTTCTGTTCCAACTGTAAGAAATCAGGGAAAGTAAAAAGATTGTCCACGTTTCTGGATATTTAGTGAGCAAAGTATGTAGCAGAATAATAGAAATAATGATAACTATTTTATCAATTGCTATTTTATATAGCAATTTTATTGCTAGGCAGTTACACTCAACAGTCAAGTTTAGAAATAATGAAGTCTGCTGAAGTATTCCTTAAGCAATTGGAGAAAGAAAATACGATGACTTAATCCTAATCAAATATTTCCAAATCCAAGCTATGGTATGCATTTCCATAGGAAAATGGTACAATGCTGAAGAAATTAAATGGTATTTGCTGCACACATAGCCTGTAGATCTCCAGAAAACTAGATCCTTCTAGCTTTGAGTTATAGGAGGAAGTTCTGGAATGACAGTCATGCCAAAGATTAGGACTAGGACTAGGACTTCAAGATAAGAAATAATGGTCTTTTAAAGAATTATAGATTTAAGTAATAAGAAACCTATTCTTTCATTAATAGCAGTTATGGTCATGTGCACATCACATGGCCAATCCAGCTTTCTCCATGTACCAACAATATTGTACAATCAAGTTTGAATCTGATGGGCTCCAGGCTGATCCATCCCTCCATCCTTCTGAGGTCAGTAAAATGAGGACCCAGATTGTTGGGAGCAATTTGCTGACATTGTAAACTACTCAGACAGTGCTGCAAAGCACTATGGAGTGGTATACAAGTCTAAGTGGTGTCGCTATTGCTATCTGGGATAATAAGGTCAAATCATTTCATATCCATTTTTAGTCCTCCTAGTCACTTCAAAAGTAGTTGATGAATGTCATTGCCTTTTTCAGTTTAAACAATTTTTTAAAGGAAATGTGTGGTAGCTTGAAAAAAGCTTGCTTCTTCTAAGAAC